CAATAGAATGTGTAGATTAATAGAGTTACTGGTTGTACTAGTTAATTAACAAGGATACTTAAGACAATAGAATGTGTAGATTAATAGAGTTACTGGTTGTACTAGTTAATTAACAAGGATACTTAAGACAATAGAATCTGTAGATTAATAGAGTGACTGGTTGTACTAATTAATTAACTAGGATACTAAAGACAATAGAGTCTGTAGATTAATAGAGTGACTGGTTGTATTAATTAATTAACAAGGATACTTAAAGCAGTAGAGTCTGTAGATTAATAGAGTTACCGGTTGTACTAATTAATTAACAAGGATACTTAAAGCAGTAGAGTCTGTAGATTAATAGAGTCACTGGTTGTACTAATTAATTAACTAGGAAACTTAAAGCAGTAGAATCTGTATATTAATAGGAGTCACTGGTTGTACTAATTAATTAACTAGGATACTAAAGACAATAGAGTCTGTAGATTAATAGAGTGACTGGTTGTACTAATTAATTAACAAGGATACTTAAGACAATAGAGTCTTTAGATTAATAGAGTGACTGGTTGTACTAATTAATTAACTAGGATACTTAAGACAATAGAATGTGTAGATTTATAGAGTTACTGGTTGTACTAATTAATTAACTAGGAACTTAAGAGAGTAGAATCTGTAGATTAATAGAGTTACTGGTTGTACTAATTAATTAACTAGGATACTAAAGACAATAGAGTCTGTAGATTAATAGAGTGACTGGTTGTACTAATTAATTAACAAGGATACTTAAGACAATAGAGTCTTTAGATTAATAGAGTGACTGGTTGTACTAATTAATTAACTAGGATACTTAAGACAATAGAATCTGTAGATTAATAGAGTGACTGGTTGTACTAATTAATTAACTAGGATACTTAAGACAATAGAGTCTGTAGATTAATAGAGTGACTGGTTGTACTAAGTATCCTAGTTAATTAATTAGTACAACCAGTCACTCTATTAATCTACAGATTCTATTGTCTTAAGTATCCTAGTTAATTAATTAGTACAACCAGTCACTCTATTAATCTACAGATTCTATTGTCTTAAGTATCCTTGTTAATTAATAAAGACAATAGAGTCTGTAGATTAATAGAGTCGCTGGTTGTACTAATTAATTAACTAGGAAACTTAAAGCAGTAGAGTCTGTATATTAATAGAGTCACTGGTTGTACTAATTAATTAACTAGGATACTTAAGACAATAGAATGTGTAGATTAATAGAGTCACTGGTTGTACTAATTAATTAACTAGGATACTAAAGACAATAGAGTCTGTAGATTAATAGAGTGACTGGTTGTACTAATTAATTAACAAGGATACTTAAAGCAGTAGAGTCTGTAGATTAATAGAGTTACCAGTTGTACTAATTAATTAACAAGGATACTTAAAGCAGTAGAATCTGTAGATTAATAGAGTTACCAGTTGTACTAATTAATTAACAAGGATACTTAAAGCAGTAGAATCTGTAGATTAATAGAGTTACCAGTTGTACTAATTAATTAACAAGGATACTTAAAGCAGTAGAATCTGTTGATTAATAGAGTTACTG